TCTCGCGGTTTCCGTTGAACAACAATATGTACATTATCTACTCGTAAAACTAAATAATAAACGTAATAGAAATATTATAATAAAACTAATTTTTTTATTTGTCTATATTTATTTTTGCTATGAAAATAAAAATGTAGTAGTGGAATATTTTTTTCGAAACAAATGACATTTAATTTAATTTTTAATTTCAATCTATTAGCATAAATAAGTTATTCTGTCACACATTAATAACAAATCATTTGTAAGAAGACATATATTGGCCAAGAGAGGATTTCTATTAACCCTTCATATCTCATTATAATTCTTTCTCTTCGTTATTTGTGCAATAATGCACAATATATAATACAAAATATTCTTTATATACATATACACTATGTGTGTGTCGATCATTTTTATATATATTTCATATATATGTAATATTTCATCATCATAGACGTAGGTCCGGCGAGATAAAACAACGAATAGCAGCGCATTGTCTTTCTCCTCGCCGCACACCGGCAACAGTTACTAGGTCAATTGGGCCGCGCTGTGGCCTAAATAGCTGCAACGCTTCTCCAATCATCTATGCCAGCGCCCTCCCACTCCTCAGATTTCTGTCATTAATAACTCGATAATTATTGCGAATCTCGCAAAACCGTATGGGACTTTCATGTTTGTCTTAACCTAATCTACCTTCACACTTCGGGTTGTAAACTTATAACCCCCCACCCTCTATATCACTATATATATACAGGGTATCTTATAACTAATCTGGCAGAGCTCGTGGAGACATAGAGCGGGTTAAGACAAATATAGAAGTCCCATACCGTTTTGTGAGATTCGCAATAATTATCGAGTTATTAATGACAGAAATCTGAGGAATGAATGCACGTCGAGACGTTATGGGAGGAGCATCTAGCCGCTCAGGCTAAAGAGCACTGCCCAATCGACAAAGGAACTGTTGCCGGCGCGCGGCGAGAGGAAGGACGACGCGCCAATGTTTATGTCCTTACCTCGCCGCTCCTACATCCCGCCGCACCGTGTCTAAGCTCACGCCGATATGGCTGAATATTCGCGATTACAATTATGAGATTATTTTATGAGGTACCACAGATAGCTCATATTGAATTGTAAAGTTCAAGATTCAAAAGTTCTTTGATCAAGGAAAACATCGAAAAGGAGAAAGCGATAGAGAGCGATAGAGAGCTACATAAATTTTCATCGTTTTCTATCGCAATCTATCGTTTTTCTGCATCGGATCCGAAAGAAATGATATCGCGTAAAGATAGAGTACGATGAACACTTTTCATCGTACTCTATTGTACTCTATCGTTAGGAGAATATTTAATTGTTAGAGTATGATAGAATTCGCGCAGAGACTCATCGTGTGCTATCATTTTATTCAAGTCTACATGGAAAATATGTTTGGTTGAATGAACCCATTTTCTGACGAAATGAAAGAGAGAAAGAGAGAGAGAGAGAGAACGATTAAGAAATTTTGATTGAAAAAAGCACAATTTTGTTTAAGTTAACCATAAACCTTGATGAATTAGATTGTGTTAATATTTTCAGTTAATATTTCTCTGTATCGTTCATATTTCATTTGCAAGCTGTATCATGGACCAAACATTTTTACCGTATATCATGCATAAATTGTTGTTTTATATCGTAATTCTTGGTCTTCAGTGGTATATATTAACGACAGAAGGAACTGAAAGTTCTGTATCATACAATTGCGAAAAGAGGACCATCGTTGTCAATGGTGCACCAACGATACTCAGCATAAAATTGATTCCTAGATATAATCGCGATACAACGCAAATCCGAGTGTGTTATTTTGACACGTTATTTTTATGTGTGTGTGTTTCATGTGTGTGTGTGTGTGTTTTATGTGTGTGAATCTCACAAAACGGTATGGGACTTTTATATTTGTCTTAACCCGCTCTATGTCTCCACGAGCTCTGCTAGATTAATTATAAGACACCCTGTATAGTCTGTAAAGAGCGTGTACGGTTTAATGTGCAGAAAATTTAATTTTAATGATTTTTATACATGGATTTGTTGTATTCCATGAGAAGAAAAATGCTATACCATTAATAATGAGTCCAGTCACCACCGGCATTGATAATTGCCTGGCATCTCCGAGGCATACTTTCCACTAAGTTGACTGTGTATTCGTTCGGTGAAAACCTCCGAATGAGACGAATTTGTCGTGTCAGCTACTTCAAAGTGCACACTCTTTTTCCTCTAAGCTTGTGCTTGAGATATGCCTACACATTTTCAATGGGATTTGCATCTGGCGAATGCGATGGCCAATCAAGTGTGACGATGCCATACTGCTCTTTCCATTCGGTGCAAAGCTTGCTCCGATGTTTTTGGTCGTTATCTTCCTGTAAGATCCAGTCCTCGCTTTTTTTATGAAGCATCGTTCAGCAGTCGGCAACAAACACTTCTCATAAATTTTAAGCATTTTCGGAGCATTTAAATTGTATGTAAACAGATGTAATGCTCCAAAACCCTGTTTCGAAAAGCAGCCCCAAAAATGAACTTTTACAGGGTGTTCGCGCGTTAACTGAAGCGAACGCGTGCCGGGACTGCTTCGCAAGAAGCGCGGGAGAGTGTGGATCGGATCGCAGAGGACGGGTTACACCAACAAAAGAATCGAGATAAATCTCGGTAGATGCGGCGAAATGTTCTTAAATAACTGTATTTAACCGGGTTACAAGGAATCGAAGCGCCGGTAGGAATTCCTCGGAGCTTTGAGCAGTTGATCGCGCGACGGTAGCGATTCTCGTAAGCAGCTGATAATCGGCGTGCCCGGTTATCAGAAACGATAATCGACGTAGGACGTTACAGTTTTAAATTTAGACAAATTCGCGAAACAAAAGAAACAATAAAAAAAAGAATGATTGAGAGTCCGTTCAGGACAGCGAACAAAACTGAGAGTCCGTCCGGGACAACGAGAAAATTCGGAGTGTCCGTCCGGGACAACGAGAAAAATCGGAGTGTCCGTCCGGGACCACGAGAAAAATCGGAGTGAGAGTTCCAACGGTGGAAAAATCTCGAAATACAAACTTGATGCTTCCAACGGACTCTCGATTAGAACAAAAAATATCTTATTGGATTAGTTGGCGCTCAATGATTGGTTCAGCCTCGCGACACATCCCAAGTTTTGTTTGGAAGTATGTTTTCACGTGTCGGGAGGCCGAACAATCACGCCGAGCGCCGTGAGTATCGCACGAGACATTAGAATGTCGGAGAGTCGCCTCGCACGTGTACGCTGACGTCAGCGGCAACACAGCGATCGTGATCGTGTAAATATCACGCGCAGCGTTGCTGATGCTCGGCGAATCCGCAACACAGGGTGTTTAACAGTCCGTTGTATTAATCTATTGATCAAGGTTGACCAGGAACGTCGGATGACAGTATATCCCGAAACAGAAACTTCGGCCGTAAAAATCACGTTGCTCCAATCTCGGTCCAAATTCTCCTTTGCTCAAGCGAGTCTTTCGTCACATGTTTTTCGCCTAACAGTGGTTTCTTCATTGTGCTTCGATATTTGAGGTTATGCGCAAGGAGATGGGTTCGAATAGTTGTATGTGATACTTCTGTACCCTTCTGTTTTAATTTTGCTGCTCCTTGTTGCAATGTTAAGGTCGGGTTCCACTTAAACAAATTCACAATTTTTTTTCCATATTCGGCGTCACTTTGCTTATCGAGCCACGTTCTGGCAAGTCATCGACATTTTTGATCTCCTTATTTTGTTGAACCCACTTAGCGACGAACGATTTTGACTTTTCGATGTATTTAGCAGCCACTGCATATGACATTTTTGGTCCTTTGGGGTGGGAACAAAGGAACACAGCCTCGTAGCGCGATGCGTATGCGGCACTCATGGCGGTTAACGTGTTTCTCAGGTTAGAGTTCGACGCCAACTGAATCTTTTGTGACAAATCATTCACGACAAAGATTTCATCTATCGGCTCACAAAAAACTAGCATGATATTTGAAGCCAACTGCCATTTATGCCGTACACGCTCTCGTACTTTACAGACTGTATATGTCATATAATTAATATATCAAGCCATAAGAAAGCGAGAAGAGAGGAAGAGCGAGCGAGTGAGCGAGAGAGAGAAAGAGTGAGGCATAGGCATAATGAGAAAAATCGCGCGGCTTACATAGCAAGCTACACGAGCGAGAAAGAGACAGTAGATAATACGTCGCCGTTCGTCTAGTCCCCCATACGTTACTTCGCGCCATCGCGGGCCGCCGCTCGCCGCCGCGCGCCGTCGCCTACGTCATGCTGCTCGGGGACCAAAGTTTGCATCGCTGGACCTGTGTCGTCGAATTTACGTTTTAGTAGCACCGGCACGCATGACTTGTTCTCGTCTCTCGTTACAATGTCGTAAAACGCTGTATGTTGAATCACTCTGAAACGTAGATTTATCGAAGTTTTCCTCGCATCCTTCTTATCCTCCTCGTTCTCATCAATAAGTATTTTATTGGTGATTAATACATTTTTTATACTACTAAAATTAATATATTTCGAAGTCTTCAAGTTCAAGGTTATCCTCTTTACTTTGTAAATTTCATAGATTTTACCTTGTGGAATACGAACGACATAGGCATAAAGTTTTGGGCCTCCAGATACAAAGGACTCTATGTAGCTACCTTGACCATAACTTTCGAGTTCATCCGTCATATCGCCCAAAAAGTTATCCGTACCTATTAGGGTCACCGGTGCTCAAGTATATACATGAATTAATATCATAATATAACATTCTACGATCTAATTTTTCTAAATAAACGTACAATTTCAAGCGTGCCTGTGCCGTCATGTAGGCCGCTATTACGACGTTTGTAATTGCAAAAGGAACAAACGCCTCTTGTCGTAATCACCATGAAACGTAGAGAACCTCATCATTCACGGGCAATATATTTATGATTTCATACTCGGGACTCGTGAGCAGCGACATGAAATGTTCGCGTGTCTTAACGATCTCGGTATTCGGCAGATTAGATCACTGACCGAATTTACTCCAGAACGAATTTAGATAAAGCTTTGCAACCGAACGCAACCCCGAATTTATCGCGATGTTGTTTCTATCGAAAACAATATCCTCTGTTTTTTCGTATTCCTGCAGGTATCGCTCTTTGGCCTTTTCATCGCCGGTGCATTCAGTAGGCCATCCGCTCCTGCTTAAGTTGCAGAAAGCAGTTGATATATCCTGCGAACATACCTCCAGCCGAGTACTTGGGCCGTATTGTGAAATCTTGTATTTCCATATCTCGCTCACGGACCTGACGATATAGCCCTTCTCTATAGCCTTCCGTAATTCACAGGATACCCAGGTACCCTCGAATTCTCGATTGGCCGGTGTGTCGTGTGTGCACGGAAATTGAGAAAATGTCTCGTTGCAACTACGGCATAGGGCGAACAATAATTTTCTGCGAACGCGAAATGGAAATATAGGGTAAAAGAAATCACGCGGAGCGAGCACCTTGCACCGCACGACCTCCTCCACTCTGCTAAAGTCAAAACCGGGGGCTATACCAATCAAAGCGGAACATTCTTCGCCCACGTACATGTCCGGGTGACCGAGCGGAAAAGAGCCCGTCTTTAGCACAAACGGGTATAAGGACCATACATCTACGTAACGTATCTTTTCCGTACCCGTAACATCGTACCGGGTGACGATGTTCCCTGTACAATCACCAAAGAATGCTTCGCGAGGATCGAGAAGCTCAGTTTCTAACATCGAGTTATTCGCAAGGAAATCGCGCATTGGTTGATTGTCCTGCAACTCCCGATCGAAGACGCACTCCCACTTCTCCATTATGATGTGACCTAGCTTCTGTAGACGAGATGTTGTTACGCGTGTACACTCGTATTGCAAGTCAATCATATTCCTCTTTACGGTAGTCGAGAGTAGGCTATCACGATTCACCCTGAAACATACGGGACATTCATGCCAAAAACACCCGTGAAATTGCAACAAGTGTTTTTGCGCAGGGTTTGTTGTCTCGCAATATCCATCGACCAGCAGCCCTTCCAGTATGCGGTGTTCGCGAAATCTACCTGCATGTGTTATATTATGACCGAGCTTGCGCTCTATTCACAACCATTTCAACGCTTTGCAGGATTGATTGTTAACATACCGATACTCACCCAAAGGAATAATACCTATCTCCTTTTCACGCAGAAAGTTTTTACGAAAAACTTTCATGCACGTAGAGGCGATGGTTGTGCATTCTTCAAACGGACATACTTTTCCACGATCCAGGAAAATCTTACGGAACGCAAGACAAGCCCGTCGAAGAATGTCGACATCGTTCCGGCAATAGCTCACAATTTCCCGTTGGAAATCAAATTCTATGTTTTTGCGCACCATATCCTCGTACCATTCTAAAAACTGTTCACACTCATGCGGTCTCATCGTTTCGGGAGAATAGTATCTTGCATATGGTATCAGTCCGATATAATATTGATTTTCGACGGTGTTAAATAATTGCGGAAACAGTCCTTTGCCAGCAGTATCTTTTAACCCGAAGGTTTTTAATGCTGACAAGCGCATAGGCATATAATTCACATTGTCGATAAATTTTGTTTGCCCGACGGTTAACAATATAATCTTCGTACTGTTTAAAATAAGTTTAGGTTCTACCCGAATACCGCTCTCGACCAAGTACCGTAGGATAAATTGCGCATTAAATGCGCTCGCGTTGTGTGCGATGCAGATAATATGTTTGAAACTCTTCCTCGATCTCGTGACTAAATCGACGAATTGTTTCACCGGATTATCTCGAAATATAAATTCGCGTATCCCGCACCAACGACATCGCAATGCCATATCGTCTACATTCATACAGCTTTCACATATCTGCTGCGCAAGAGCGTCACAACGTGAGTTTTAACGTTTTCTATGCCTTCGATCGTATCGTCTTGACGCGTCTCAAAATCATAGAACACAAACGAGATGCGACCTTTTACGCGCCTCCTTGTTTCTGTCGCTTCGTCAATGTCATCAACTACGTTTTCGTTTCCTACTCGCTGCTGATTCATCGTGTCGGATGAACCAGTGTCGCATCGCAGTGATTTCATATAGCATAGATGATTCACTGGTTGCAACGAGTTGCAAACACGACAAAAGATCTCATTGCAATTGTGATTGTTCCTCAAGTTTCGCAAACGGCCACAGTCGCTGCAAACTCTCAGGATATTACAGATGCTCAAAAATGAAGCACCTTGGAGCGATTTTTGCACACGATGACGCTCGAAACATACCGATACATAAAATTCACATTGACACGCGGCATATCGTATTAATTCTACGCCTGATTTCTCGCACGCTGGAGCGCCGTGACATCGTGGACATGCGTTTGAGCACCGAATCCCTCTTTCCGGCTTATATCTGCTATTATAACGTATACAATAACCTTGGCTGCCCGATGCAGCTCTTAAATTTAATACTGGATTGTAATGCTGGGATTTTTCGTAGTACATAATATGCAGTCATTTTAGCTTCGCGTCCGAGGGAGATGAGTACGCTACTATTAGGTAAATCGGAAAGTTCCGTCCGTTTAGTGACAAGTAGCTATAGCTAGAACTGTCATTAACCTCTAATGTCTAAACGAAGCTTAATAACTTGTTTTGATACCTGTCAATAACATTCAGTACATAAAAATATACGTTTGCATCAAGAACATTGTTTTTCACTGCATCGAAAATATCGAAATTTCAGCCAAATAAGTGTCATTTGCGCGAAGTGTTAATCTTTTGCTTTAATTGGAAGAAAACTGCAGCTAAAGCTCATCGAATGCTTGTAGAAGTTTATGGTGATGATGTTCCTTCCAATAAAACATGCAGAGAATGGTTTCGACGCTTTAAAATTGGTGATTTTGATGTAGAAGACAAAGAGCGTTCTGGACGGCCAAGAGTATTCGAAGACGAAGAATTGCAAGCATTAGTGGACGAAGACTCATGTTAAACGCAAAAGCAACTTATAGAAGCATTAAATTGTGCTTAATCTGTCATTTCCGATCGGTTGAAAGCCTTAGGAAAAGTTTATAAGAAAGATAAATGGGTCCCTTGAACTGAAGCCAAGAGACATTGAAAGGCAAAAAACCACCTGCGAAATTCTGCTTGCTAGGCAACAAAGAAAGGGATTTTTACATCGTATCATCACTGGGGATGAAAAATGGGTTTATTTTGACAAGCCCAAACGTCGAAAAACTATTTGCGACCCTGGCCAACTCTCAATATCAACGCCAAAACGGAATATCCATGGAAAGAAGGCAATGCTCTGTATTTGGTGAGATCAGAAGGGTGTGCTGTACCATGAGCTATTGAAAAGTGATTAAACAGTCACAGGGGATCTCTACAGAGAATAAATGATCCATTTGAACCGAGCATTACACGAAAAACGACGAGAGTATGAAACGGGACAGCATAAAATGATTTTGCTTCATGACAACGCTCGGCCTCACGTCACAAAATCTGTCAAGGAAACGTTAAAAGCACTTCGCTGAGAAGTGTTATTCCACGCGGCTTATTCACCAGACTGTAAGGGAAGATGGGGCAAATAGTGACAAATTTTCTTTCTCCTCCGTACATACTAGTTTCAAGTTATCAAGATCAGCTGTTTTACTAAGAAGATACTTATCTTCAATTATACGAAAAACTGAAGTAAAAGTTCCATAAGTCAGATATAAGGGCGAAATTTTCATAAAAACCGCAACCTGCATTTTGTCACTATTTTCCCCATCCTGGGGCAAATACTACATGGGCTTTGGCTTAACAATGAAAAAATAATTTTTTTAATAAAAAAAAGTGTTTTATTCCTCGACATAATCTCCATTTAGAGTAATGCACTTAGTGTAACGGTCCGCTAACATTTCGATGCCGGTCTTATAGTGCTCGGTGTCAAGTCCCTCAAAATAGGCATTTGTTTCCAACTTGACCTCCTCATTCGAGTAAAATCTTTTACCAGCGAGCCACTGCTTCAGTCGGGGAAAAAGGAAAGAGTCGCTGGAGCCAGGTCTGGAGAATACGGGGAATGCAGGACCAATTCATAGCGCAATTTCTTTAATTTATCGGTCGTTCCGAGCTGGAGCATTGTCTTGGTGAAACAAAATTTTTTTCTTTGCCAAATGTGGCCGTTTGACCTTGACCTCGTCGTCCAATCGATCCAGTAATGTACAGTAATATTCTTTATTGATAGTTTTACCATGTTCAAGATAATCAATGAATATTATGTTATGCGCATCCCAAAAAATACTGGCCAAAACCTTGCCGGCTGATTGTTGTGTCTTTGGGCGTTTCGGACGGCTTTCACCAGGCTCCGCTGACTGCCGATTGGACTACGGTGTGTAGTAATGGATCCATGTTTCATCCATTGTGACCAATCGACACAAAAACTCCTTCTTATTGCGGTTAAACAGGGCCAGATTTTGCTTTGAAAGTCGAACACGTTCCGCTTTTTGCTCAATTGTCAAAAAACACGGCACCCAACGCGCGCAAAGCTCTTTCATGTGTAAATATTCATGAATGATATGACCAACGCGTTCCTTTGAGATGCCTATGATGTTAGCTAGCTCACTCAATTTCATTTTGCGGTCATTCAACACGATTTCACTGATTTTCTGGATGTTTTCTGGAGTAACTGCCTCATTTGGCCTTCCTGAACGTGGTGCATCATTTGTGCTCGTACGGTTACGACGAAACTCAGCAAACCAATATTTGATGGTTGAATTCGGTGGGGCAGATGTGCCATAACATTTATCAAGCCATGCCTTTGCTTCAATAGTGTTTTTTTCCCATCAGGAAGCAATGTTTAATCAAAACACGAAATTCATTTTTTTCCATAGTAAAGATAAATTCAGAGGTAACGTCACTTCGAAAGCTATGACTTGTACACGAGTCAACGAAATATCATGAAATTTTTACAGCATCTAAGTTAAGGTTGGTACTCTATAGGAAATATAAGGATTTTTAGTTTGTGGCGCCATCTATATGTCAGGCCAAAGACTTTTTAGCCCATGTAGTAGTGACATCCTAAGAGGCAAATAGTGACAATCATGAAAAAATAGTTTTTAACTCCTCAAGTATTATTACATATACATGTAAAGAATAAATGCTTCAAGTGTCAGGCAAAGAGTATTTAAATAAAATGATTACATATGTAAAATAAAATTTATTCTAGAAAGTATAAAACATAAATAAAATATAAACAATATTAAATCTGTTTGGCTGCTCTTTGCATAGACTTTGCATAGACTTTGCATAAACTTACTAATACAGACATGACGAAAGAACGAACATAAAGTTGAATATTATAATTATAACAAAAAGGGCATGAACATAAAATTATTTATTATACTTATACAGAGATAACGAAAAGAACAGACATAAAATTATTACGAAACAGAATACTGCCTTTCAAGAATAAATTTCTAATTTCAGTCAAGAGGACATAGCACACATTAACAGCCATAGACTAGTATTTGTTGCTAAAAATCACAATTATTCTTTAACTGTAACTACTTCCACACTTCTAAAAAAATAAAAACCATAAATAAAATAAAAACATTAAATCTTTGGCTGTTTGTTTGCACAATTAAATTTACTACTACAAACATGACATAAGAAACGAACATAAAATTGCTTATTATAACGAAAGGAATGAACATAAAATTACTTACTATACTTATGTAGAGATACCGAAGAGAACAAATATAGAATTATCGTAATATCATCCTCCTCCCATGTCGCGTTAACCTCCTCAAATTTAATTCTTCTTCTCTCACGACGAATCGATATCAAAGTTTAGATCATTTGACGTCTTATCAAAATCTTAAACTCTCTGTACTCTCTTCTTTTTTTATTTTCTTTTTTTTGTTTAAACTGTTTCTGAATTATTCTTATTACTTTTTCGCTGTCTTTTCCTTTTTTCAGATTTCTGTTTTTTCTCTATCTGTTGTGTTTCACGTTCCTGTATTTCATTCTTCTCTGGACTATCTGTGACAATCATACATTTACCCTTCCTTCTGGGTTTTCTCGTATTCTGTTTAGGCTGTACTTTAGGATAACTTTTGAAATCTGATGGACTTATGAATGAGTCATTAGTATTGGTTATGGCCGTAGCTATTACTGTCAATGAAGTTTTTGATGCTGAGGTGGTTACTGTCTCTCTCAGGTTTTCGGATCCATTTGGATTGTTAGCTCTCTCATTTGGATCCAGCTGTTCCGTTACTGTAGACATGATGTAATCTGCATCTTGAAATACAGATCGGCTGAAAAGATATATGCCTGGCTTCTCAAAACTGGCAATAATGTTTACTGGAATAGCTGCCTTAATTAGAGCTTCTCGCACAAATCCTGCTACATGATAAATAGTTACAGGGACACCAGGGTTGTTCATCATCAAATTATTTATAGCATTATCATAATATGACTTAAAAGGACCAAAAATTCCGACGTCTAACGGTTGGAGTTTGTGTGTAATGGGGAGGAAAAGTAAAAAGCGTTACTCCATTTTCCCGGGTAAAATTTATAGCGTTAACTGATAAATGAGTTTCAACATTGTCAATTAAAAGAAGCGTAGAATTTTCTTTAGAAGAATTTGAACACTTTACAAAATGTTTCATAACATCAACGAAGGTCTCTTTTGTCATATAGCCTTTGCTATTGGCTAGTCCAAGTGTTCCAGGGAAAACATTCAGTGCCATATTACTCTTATAATATTTGCGAGGGAAAATCATAACTGGAGGTATTACCACTCCATGAGCGCTAGTAAAGCAGCAGGTTGTTACTGAAGTACCTCTCTCCGCACTCTTCACTTGATGCACTTGCTTTACACCTTTAAAAGAGACAATTTTTCGGGTATTTTGCACTGTGCTAGTGCTAGTTTCGTTCATATTGTAAAGTCTGGATCCATTCATAAAGGAAGAATTCCTTTTCAAAACTTCGTTCAACTTATTAAAAAAATTGTCAACATCCCAGCAAACACCGAATATAACTATTATATAACCTAGAAGTAACATGCAATATAACAGAAGTTATACATTATTAATATTGATGTTACATAATTTTCTTTTGTAACTACAATATAACTGTATTTTATAACTGTTATATTTGTCTGTTATTTATTGGTTATAATTGTATAACAGCGATATAATAGAAATATTACACGTTATATATTGCAATACACGTTATATATAACGTTATTACACGTTATATATAACAAATGCTACATTAATATCATTTTAATATTATATAACTATTAGTATCGTCCGAAAAACGATGTGGTCTGTTCTTTATAGGTGCGCCGGTGTGTACAAATTTTGCGTACCTAATTTAGTGTACCTACAAAGAACAGACTTGTGCTAGTCCAGAGATAACCGGCGTGCAGCGTCTTTGTTGTATAGCCCATCTATCTCAGGAAGGAATCAAGCAGTAGTGAATATTGAACGACGTTATTTATAAGGTAATCTATATCATCTTTAAATAATCAGTTGACATATATTACAAATTTTTTACATGTAATGCAAACTAGAATTTTTACTTAATTTTTGGCTAATATTTTTTTCATATGTTGCTAAATCGCTGTTCGGAAAATTGCTTATTCAGTGAAAGCTGTTTTAATAGTTTGACCAAAGGTACGTTATATTTATATCATTAAATGATGTAAATATTTGTAAATATAGTTATTACAGATATTTATATTGTTTACTCATGTTTACGGTGCACCTTTGGTCAAATTGTTAAAACAAATTTTGCAAAAATTTATAAGCAAATATTAATTACCAGAATGCAATATGGAGAATGCTGCAATTTGTAATTATATACATAATGATACTTGCAGATAATTGTGGTTTATGATTTTGAATATTATTGCATAAATAGACACTATCATTAAATGATGTGATAATTATATAAAAGACTTCCACCCCTCACCTCTGATTTCGACAAGAAAACAATTAATCGTTTTTGCAAGACAAACAAGTTTTGTACTTGAAAAAATCGTCGTTCTACTTTATGGAGCAAGATAATTGTTACAGTTGACGATATAATTTAGGTTAGGAAATCTGTTACGGAGGTGAGGGCCGTCTTTTCTATAATTACAAATGCATTCCCTAGCTTTTCTAATAATAGACAAAAAATAAATCTTTGCCGTACTAGAAAGATGAGTCTACCACATACTAAAATGATAGATTCTGAAAAAAGTAGTGAAGGCTCCTACGCAAGGGAGGATGTATCATGAATCAGAAGCAGAAGAATGATAGCATGTGCTATCTCATTATGTAGAACCAATCTTGTTCCTCTTGTTATACAATAAAATTGTATATGCTATGATTCTTCCGCTTTTGATTCATGATACATTCTTCCTTGCATAAGGGCCTGTTGCAAGAACCTGTCATTTTAATATATGATAGACTCATCGCTTTATTAAGGCGAAGATTTAAAGACAAATTCTTTTACAATTATTGTTCACAAGATAGGAGTTATTTTGTGTACAAGTCCTATCTTGTGTACAATATTTATAAAAGCATATATCTTTAAATCCTCATCTTACTAAATCGATAAGTCTACCATATACTAATATGACAGATTTTGAAAAGATTGGCAAAGGCTTCTATACAAGGGAGGATATATCATAAATCAGAAGCAGAAGAATGATAGCATGTGGTATCGCATTATGTAGGGCTGATCTTGTTTCTCTTGTTACGCAATAAAATAGCATATGCTATGAGTCTTCCACTTTTTATTCATGATACATTCTCCCTTGCATAAAGGCCTTTGCTAATCTTTTCAGAATCTGTCATTTTAGTATATGGTAGACTCATCTTTTTAGTAAGGCGAAAGATTTAAAAGAAAATAAGGGAAGTGACACACATGGCTGAAATGGTATAAATGGTGCAAATGAGATAATATAAAACATCAGGATATCCCTGTGATATATTTTGCACATTTCTGCTGTGTGAGACATACACGCACACACACACATACACAGGTTGTTCAGTAATTAGAGAAAGTTGCTGTGTACAGATAGATTTGATAAAACTGATCAAAAGATTCCTCTATCATTTTGCGAACAACCACAAAATTTGTAGTTATCAATCACAGAAGATTTTTTAATGATTACGTACTATATATTAAACATTAGTATATGATTGTGGGATTAAAATTGTATAAATAATGTATCAATCTTTTTTAATTAATAAATAAAAATCGATGTGGTTATTAGGAAAATGAAAGGATTTTTTTCTTTAGTTCAACCTGATATATAAGCAGACGTCGCTATCACAACTCATCTATTATGGCGTTCGTATGATTGTTCATAAAAGAGAAGTTAAATAAAGAAATTTTTTCTTCAATTTTATTTAATCTACATGTTGGTAGATTATTTATGTTGGTATTATTATGTTGGTAGATTGTTGGTTGGTTCGCGAGTTACTGGACACTCTGTCCATATATGCGTGTATGAATGTGTGTACAGTAAAATACTTTCAAAATATTATTTAACATTGTTCTCATAACTTGTATATTATTTTTTTTAACAATACTTTAATGCATAATAGTTAACAAAATTTATTAACATTTTATATCATAACATCTCATATTTTCTTCATATTTAATATTGCTTTAAAATTGTCTTTAATGCCGTGTTTTCTACATCTCCATCGCATTAAATCTGTTAATCCATAAATTTATTCTATAAAATGTATTCTATAAATATTTATTCTGTAAAAAAATAAAAAAAAACTTTGAAAGAAAACAAAAATTCAGAGTGCCGTCTATAGATTTTTGTCATATTATTTACATCTTAGAAGATCAGTGTTAATTTCTCACATAAAAGAAATCTGAAAAAGAAAACAATATTGATGAATGCAACAATAATAATATTAATGTACTAGTAAACTAATAGTATTAGGTCCGGTTGCACCTACATTTTTTTGGGTTATAAGCGAAACTTAAACATGTACATATTTTTATCTTTCAATCAAAATGACTAAAGACAAACACACATTAAAGTCTAGCTTAAAGTCAAAATAATGTTGGTGCAATCAGGCCTTAATGTACTAAACTATATTAAATTTTTAAGACTTCTTCAAGTTCTGATAGACATATGTAATGAGTGCACATTTCTGTAATCTTTGTTTAGGCAAAAGTCGTATTCTACATCCGTTATGCCTAAAGATGTTAAGTATTTATCAAACAGACAAAGGAATCAAATTATTAGTAAAGATGTATATAATAGTGAAAATAATGTTTTATTGGAAAGAGCTTCACCCAATGCAGCATCTATTATTATAGTAAAGGAGGATAATATTATTGTAAATTCTGATAACATATCATATACTAATAATACAGGGCGGTTCGCAATCACGCTCCGTATACCCCGAATGGCGCAAAGTTCGCACGACGCGAACCGTGCGCGCGTCGGTGACGAGGACGAATGAAGAGAGACGGCGGTGTTTCGATCCTCCGATTGATTCTGGCGATGATTTGCTTCACCGCGTTGTACTGTATTGCGCGATAGTTGTACTTCGAGATGTTTCATCGTCCGCGCATCGACGCGATCGAGCAAGATCTCGCGGATTGGTACGAGGAGGACGGGGGCGTTGACCACGCAACGGACGAGTCCGATCGGCGCAATCGATCCGCCCGATTGGATCGAGCTCGACGATTGCGGCGTTGCATGGGCGTCGGTATCGATTCGTTGCCGCGAGTACGCTTCGTCGGCGCCAAACTGCATCGGCGACGACGTTCCGTCGACGCGAATGACCGCGACGGCGAGGACGTCGTTGACGGCGACGGTTCGACCGAGAGAGACCCATTTTTGCGACGTACCGAGTGTCTGACGCACGGCTCGTTCGTCGCGTCGACGAACGTATACGTGGACTGCAGAACGTACTGCGGCGTGACCGACGGTGTGGAGTACCGTTACTACGATCGACTGGGCGTGTTTCTAAACGGACGACGCGGTCGCGTGGGCGGTTACTGCATGCCGACCGACGCTGCCATCTGCAACGAGAACACGAGTCTGACGGTTTACGGCTCCGACGGCTGGCGATGTTTGTCTCAAACGCGAGCGTTCGCTGGCGAGGGCGGTAATCGAATCGTCGTTTGCAACGGTCAGTTGCTCGATCGAGCCACCGGCAAAATCTGGCACGGTCACATCGATTCTACGCTCGCGTTCGACTCGATTCACGAGCTGTTGCCTGACAATCCGAATGGTGACGGTGGCGGAGGGTTTCGATTCGTGTGTCCTCCGTCTGTACGGGACGAACGCAACAATGAGTACGTGACTGCGCCTTTCGATCGTTTGTTCCTACTGCGCAACACGTGCGCTTCTCTCATTCCGCACGCGGATGAGTCGATTACGCCGAATTTCGAAGAGAATAAATGCGAGTGTGG